TTCAAGTCCTGAATTCAACTCATTCCATAACTTTTTTTTTTTTATTTGGAAAGATGAGTTGTCATATCATTCTCTTTCCACAAACTACATTATTCGAAGTTCAGATTTTGAGTGTGAAGGTGCATTTGCCCCTCGCTCCCTATTTTTAACTTTGCTAATATTCTTGTCCTTTGTGTTACATGTTTGATCAGATAGCCTGGCTCAGTAAAAGTAGGCGGCCAGTGTAACTCTGATTAAAAATCTGATTATAACCACATTCAGTGCTGATAAGGACCACGTGTTTCTGAGACTCTTTCCCCTTTATTTTTCTTCTTTCTAGGTATTTCTTTCTCCTGATGAGGAGGGACCTTTAGCTGCCCTCGAAATCGATTGAATGTTTCAATATACTTACGCTAAGTACAAGGTTGTTTTTACGATTTTGATTCTACATGCATGTGTTATGATTTTCCGATTATGCTTCAGGTAACTTAATGTAATTCCAACCACACTTATCAAACAGTCTGAAATCTCATAATCTTTTGCAGACTTTTCTGCCATAGAATTTGTTAAAACCATCATAGCACTTAAATTTGTGTTTTGAAACATCTTAACAGCTTTATTAGATTTATCTTGTTCGGCAACCAAAACACATATTGGAAGATTTTCTGTTTTCACTAAAGTTCTTTCCTCAATTTCTAAAGTGCCAGGATGATAGCTTAAAATAAATCTTATCCTATATTTCTATACAAGCCAATTGCTTTCACGTACTAAAGGCTTTACTTGGATCTTAGATAATTCCATCTTTTCACTTTTAAACCACTTTCGATTGCTAATATGAAAACAAAACACATTCTAGATTAGGCTTAATGAATTTTATTCTACTCTTATCACTTCAAAACACTTGACACAGTATGAGAGCTTGCTGGGAAAAAGTGTTTCTAGAACTAAAACAAATAGAGCAAAAATATGAAGATTTTAATTGGAATTACTAACTAATGTAGAACTACATCATCAACTCATGCAGTGCAAGCTCCTGATGACAACAATACTCACTGTTGCTAGAACTTATTAGCTAAATTACATATTAAAATTATTACTTGATTTCTTTCTTTTTTAACATATTTTAACAGTAGAAAGGTAAAGCGCATAATCATTGGGCATTGACAAGTTAATTAAAAGGTTTGCTGCTAAAAAAGCAGCGAATGTGATCATTTAAGAAATGTAAGAATTAGTTATCTAAAAGAAGAAAAAGGGGGATATGTATTATGTAATTTAAGTTAAAAGACTATGTGAGAAGGGATAAAGGTTAAGTTTAAAAATAAATTAGATTAACTACTCAAGTAAATGTGTGGAGTATAGTGTTTAATGTAAAACAAAAGGGGATAGCAAATATAAAAATAATGTATTAAGGTAAGCTTTATTTTTATAAATTTTAATATCGTCCACGAAGAAATTTTTAAATGTTTTATGATTTTAAATTTGCTAAAAATATGCTAGGTTTTTATAATTTATAATTTTGAGTTTTACTTAATATTCTAAAAGCGATACGTTATAGTTTTTAAATACATTTTTATTCTGCTGTTTCAAAAACTGTTAAAGCAAAAATATTACATAAGTATTAATAAACTTTAAAAACAAATAGTGATAATAATTTATGTAACAACCTGATAATGATGCAGAAAGTATAAAAGAGATCCTGCTGTGGGAGTCTCCAATCTTCCAACTTGACGGAGTCTCCACCCCCACAATTTCTTAAAGTGGCTCTCAATCTAAGCTGTTATTCCCTTGGTATTTAATAGTCTGCCACACAAAGATTTGTTTCTGAAGTTATTATTTCATTAGTCCTTCATCTTTTATAAAGATAGAAGAGCTGCAATGAAGCTTATGTTAAAATAAGGTATCAATTAAATATAATTTATATATAAAAAAAGTAGTTTTATTTAGGCTTAAACTGAAGTTGGCATCTGGCATTCTTGTTTACATGTAGGCTTTCCTTTACAAGGCTGCACAGCCTGATGCCAGTTTAAGGAGAAGGGGGTAGGGAAAGGGGCGAGAAAGGGAAAAAAACTGTTTCGGGACCTCTGACCTCCCTCCCCACTCGTGCTCCGTTTGTTTTGTTTTTAAGGCAATTCCCTGCTCCCAGTTCTATGGTGATAACGAATCAAACAAAAGAACTTTTAGCTTGCACGCCGTATATTGGGTGCCCAAACAGAGAAAGAAATAAAATTCATTCTCCTGATTATAATATTCTTAAGAACTAAGCAATGGAAATAACTTAAAAATCAAAGCAAAAGCATTTTTCTAAATAACAACACAAATAAATTTAACAGTCAATGAACAATGGTTTCTTAAGTAATCAGAATGCTGAAATAAATCCACCATGCAAAATGAAAATTTCACTGAAAAGCATTCTTCAATTAAAATGTTCACAATTAAGCAGAACAAAAAATTTTAATCAATTGCCAGCTTAAAACATTTAGTACAAAAGCGATAACGGTTTAAACGTGAGGAATCTCTTAAGAATGGATATGCACAAATTAATTTAAGAATAGAAACATAAATTAGAATTAATAAAAAAGAAATGGATATTTAAATAGTTGAAAATAAGCAATATAGTTTTAAAATTTTCTTTAAAGCTAAGATACATTATTAAAAAGACTGAATCGAATACAGCCTGTAACTTACAAAGCCAATAGACGGTAAAGTTGTTATGATGTCAGAGGTCATGCGAGCATGCATAACTGTGACGTCACAAAAAAATCACATGATCTCTGACATCATTTGCTATTTTTTGCTACTTTATGAGTCTACTTTTGCTGCTTTAGTTGAAAAATTTTTGGCAACACTGTTAAGCAGTAGGAAAGTTAAATATTTGAGCTGTTTGTGAGAACATGATTCCGAAAAATTGAAGATTCTCTTTATTATGTGCAAAGTTTCATGCTAAATATAGTAAACTTAAAATGATAGAAAGAATAAAAAATTTTAATAACTGTTCATGATTTATTTATGAATACAAAATAAGTGACAATAATGCATGTATAATTACTCAGGAGTTTCTAATAATATTCAAATAAATTTTAGTGTAAAAATTAAGAATATGCATTAGAAACAGTCTTTTAAATTATACTAATTTTTGAATTTATGTCTCACAAAGTAAATTTTTCTCAGGACTTTTAAAAGGCTAGAACACTTGTTAAAATATGTTTGCAAGTGTATATACTAATTACATATGTCAGTATGCAATCATAAAAGAAAATAGTATTGGTTTAGATAGTTCATTTTAAGATTATCAGTAAAGATACATAGGTTATTCAGAAAGTAAGGTCTGATTTCTTATAAAACATTAACCATCACAGATTTTCTTTCAAAAACTTTATTTTATTTAATTCCTTACGTAATTCCCATATTTGTTTAAACATTTGTCATAACATACCAAAAGCATTTTTATGCCTAAGTCGTAGATGTCTGCCACGTGTGAGGATAACCAGTCTTGAACTGCTTCCTTCACTTTGTCGTCTGTGTCAAAGTTACTACTGAGAAACTCCTCCTCTAGGTAGTGGAAAAAGTGAAAAATTACTCGGTGCCAAGTCTGGACTGTATGATGGATGGTCAATCTGTTCCCATCCAAAAGATCTGATCAGATTTTGTGTGTGAATGGGAGAATGGGATCTGGCATTGTCATGCAGCCACAAAACTTCAGACATCAGAAGGCCATGTTGCTTATTCTATATTGTTCGTCCAAGTATATTCTGGGTATCACAGTCAGCGGCTGTATTTATTGTTGTTCCTTGCTGCATAAACTCGACTAACAAGACTTCATGACTATCCCAAAACACGATTGCCATAACCTTGCGTGCTGAGATTGTTTGACCTTTACTCTGACTGGTGATGCCATTCCATTAACTGACGTATAGATTCTGGGGTCATATGAGAAAGCCATATCTCGTCCCACGTGACAGTCCACTCTAAAAAGTCATCACCTTCCTTATGATATTGGTCTAAAATATCAATAGCATAAGCCATACTTTTCATTTGGTGTTCCTCAGTAAGCAGCCTGGGACCCCAGTGTGTGAACAATTTGTGAAATTTCAACTTTTCAGAGACTACTTTGTGCAAAGTTGTTCTACCCACATTTGGAAATTCCAATGCTAAAACTGAAATTGGGAATTCAATGTCTCCACGAATCTTTATGTCCATGGCATTGATCAAATCTTCTGTGGTCACAAATGCTCGGTCTGATTGCTGTTCATCATGGGCATTTTCCCGTCGATCCTTGAAATCTGTCATCCACTTTGCTGGCACGCATCGTACTGGGGGCCATACATGTCATGTCAATGAATTTCTGCTGCTGAAATGTACCTCGCTGTCAAAAACCAAATCACTGACCATATTTTGCAGTTGGTGGGTGGGCTGATCAATTGTTTAAAACATTTTGAACTGATACTGTACAAAGCACATTGCAGTAATACCAGTGTAAATGCTGATGTTTGATAAGCAAGGAGTTGGTATGCATGTGTTTTTCAGTGTTCATGCTACGTTCGATTAGCTGTGGCAATTTGAGCCTTAGTTTCTGAATAACCCTCTTAAATCTATTTCATAAATTGCTTGCAAAATTATCTATGTTCCTTAAAAGTAACTAGAAATGATAGGCTGATTGACAATAAAAGGAAAAGGAACAGAGGAAATCATTGAGATTCTAAAGTGTGTGCTCTGAGGATTTGCTGATTATTCTTTGCAATGATAAATAAGAACATTTGTGCGCAAATTGCAGTATCTTTGAAAAGCTAGTTGAGGAACTCTTCATCAAATTGTAGAATACAGGGAGGTATTTAAAGTTTGCTAACCCCTACTTATTAAAGGTGTTAGAACAATCACAAGATTAAGTTTAATATTTTGTTAGTAGTGATTGCCACATGGCATGGAGAAAACTGAAAATGGCCATTGATATAATAGTTTATGTATGTGTCTGTATGTTGTTATTTAATCGTATTTCTTATATAGCTTTGCTTTTTATTATATAGAATCTTTTGGATCACTTCGTGAAAGTACAAGGCTTAAACATATCACAGGTATGCTTTTATGTTTCTTAATTCATTTTGCCGATTTTTTTATTTGTAGCTAATTTTTTAACTGATTGCTTAAACTTGATTTTTTTTTAACTGTTGTGTTAGCATACAAGGTGCAACTATAAAATAACCAGTCAGTTTCTTATAAATAAGCAAAAGATTACTAACCTTCAAATTTCTGTGTCTTTAATGCTTAATTATTTTCCAAGACACTGTATTTAATTATATGCTACTTTATTATATACAAAATGCATCATCACTCATATACACACATATAACTACAACTATGGACATTCCAGTCTCATTTCTGGTTTCCAATAACTTCGCATGCTTGCGATGCTTGGCGCTGCACCAGCTTTAAGCTTGATTATGATTAATTCTTGATACACCAAATCCCTTCCCCTTTATCACAAGTTCAGTATACCTGGAGGTCATTGCATTCTAGTGGACCAACACAAAGGTTGTGGCACAGCTGGTTTCTTTGCTAACCTGGTTGTATCAGCAACAGATCTGGTGGATGGAACATCTGGTAAAAACCTTGGGCTAGGAAGATGACACAGACTCATCTACCTGGTTTCTATTATCTTTGGATGGTTCTGGAACTCCACTCTTATCAGGCTGTTTGGGAATCATGAGAGTTGGAGGTGGACATACGCAGCCATCATCAATTATGGTTCCTCCATCACGCATCTGATCGACATGTCTCCACCATAGCTGTCCATCTACATGGCAATAATTTCTTATTGCCACTTTATCGCCAAATCCTCTGTCTCTGCAAACTCATAATTTTTCTTTGGAACTTTGTCTTCCATCTTTCTTTTAAGATCTGGTCTCAACAAATCTAATCTTGTTCGAATTTTCCTCTTCAAAGTTAGCATTGCAGGGCTCTGTAGAGTAGTTAAATTCAGAGCTTTTCTATATTGCATTAAAAATGTACTGAATTTTTGTCTGAGTTCCTGCATAATTTTGCATGGTTCTTAAAGATTGCTTTGCTGTAAACACATACCATTCAGCCTACCCATTATGAAATGGTTTAAATGGTGCTGCAGTTTTGTGTTTGATTCCATTTCTCTGTAGATCTATCTTAAACTCATGTGAAATGAACTGTGGCCCGTTATCATTTACTAACAATATTGGTAATCCAAATCATGCAAAAAGTCCCCTAAACATTCTATTGTTTTGAAAGTTGAGCTTGATTTCATTGGATAGGTTTCTAGCCATTTCAAGTGAGCATCAATGATTATCAAAAACATATGCTCCAAAATCAGTCCTGCATAATCAATGTGAATACATACCATTGGAGCGCTCAGTTGTTTCCAATGATGAACCTTTACCTTCGGAGGAACTAGTTTATGTTTTGCACATTCAAAACAGTTTTTGGAAGTATTTTTGATATCTTTATTTATAACATTCCAAAACACGTAAGATCTAGCTTTTGTTTCATCTTTACAGTCATTAAGTGTGCGTGGTGCAACTCTTTTAAAACATTTTCATGGTATCATTTTGGAATACAAACACGCTGGCCATACATTATACTGCCATGTTGGAGACTACACTCCATCCCCCTTCCTTTCAATTCACCACTGCTTTGAAGTATTCATAACAGAGGGCTGAGTTCTGCATCTATTTCAGTTTCTTTAGCCAAATCTCTGGCAGTAATTGGAAGAATTTCCAATCTGCTGTAATTGAAAAATAGTTACATCATCCTGAATAGACAATTGCAGTGAGTTCATTGGCAATTGTAGCCAGCATTACCATACTCATTTATTTGATGGTAAATAATGTTGAATTGGAATGACTGTAAAACTGATGCATAATGCAAGAATCTCGTTGCTGCCAAAGCTGGCATGTCTTTCTTTGAACCGAAAATTGCAACAAAAGGTTTATGATCTCTAGTTAACGTAAAGTCCTTACCTTTTAAGTACAGAAAAAATTTTGTAATTCCCCAGATGATTGGCAAGACTTCTTTATCTGTTTGAGAATACTTTTTCCCTGTTTAAGTCGAGGTTCTAGAAGCATATGCATTTGGCCTTTCTGGTCCATCAGGAAGTTTGTGGGAAAGTACCACATCTAACCCCCACTAGTCTTAGTGCTTTTGCAATCACTGATATTTTTCATCAGTTTTATGTAAACCATTAGTATCAATTTTATGACCTTATATTTGTATTTCGTCCTGAAAAATTTTACTTTTTTCCAAATTTAATTTTAGTCCATGAGTTTTTACATTTCTCAAAGAAATTTTTTAAAGTATTTAAATGTGCAACAGCATCAGACTCTCTTATTCGCACGTCATCCATGAAGACTACACCCTTCCATTCCTTAGAATATGTAACCTTGCCAGGTTGCCAGCGCTGCATTTAGCCCAAACATTAATTTCTTATGCTTATGCAATCTCTTCATGTTTATTGTTAGCAATTTTTTAGTCTCAGGGTGTACTTTTATTTGTAGATAAGCGTGTTTAAAATCAATTTTGGGAAAATGCTTTTCCCTGCTCAAACATGAGAATATTTTATCAATGGTTGGCAGATGGTCTTGATGCATAACAATATTTGGGTTTACTGAATAGTCAGCATGTAGTCGTATAGAGCCGTCCGGCATAACTATTGGCACTACCAGAGTTGCCCATTCTGATGTTTCAAACTTTTCGATTATACCCTCCTTTTCCAAGTGATCAATTTCTTCATCTATCCAGCCTTTTAATGCAAATGGTTCTTGCCTAGCCATGCAAAATTTTGGTGAAACATTGGCTTTAATTCAAGTTGAACCTCATAATTTTTTGCCCCCTAATTTTCCGTCAGAAATCTCTTTTTATTATTCCAATAATTTATTTAAACTACTCTTTTGAGAGACAAAAATTGACTTTGTTGAGGTCCAATCTAAATTTATTTAAAAAAAAACATTTACGACCAAATATTGTATCAAGGTTTTCTTTAACAATGTAAAGATTTAAGATTTTATTTTGACCTTTGTATTCTACATTAACTGTAGCAAATCCTAAAGGTATCAGATTTTCTCTGTTATACATTTTAAATACCAGACTTGTATTTTGAATTTTCTTTTTTGAAATTTGCAGGAAATTTTTTAAACTCGTTACGGATACTGCACCATTCTGTATCCAATTCCATAGCTACCCGTTTTCCTTCTATGTTCATTTGGTCCAATATGATCAGTTTTCTATTTTTCATCTCGCTGGAATTTATGCTGTTCATAGGAACTTTGTTTTCATTTCTTACATCTAACTTTGTTTTGCTTTGATTCTTTCAGCCATTTTAGGATTATCCCCTTGAGGACCAGCGTGTGGAGAATGAAGCACAGCCATGTGGCCAAACCCCCTGAAATGGAGCGCCGCTACCGGCCCACACATTTTCAGTAGTTAAACCTACTTTTACAAACAAATTCATACAAAATCACCGTTTTAATATAATGACCTCAATTTTTTAGTTCCGTACATAATATACTAATTATTGACATGCATTAATATAAAGAATATTACATTAATAGAAATAAATAAAATGTGCAAAATACTAAAATGATAACTAAGCATGAAAACAAATAGTTTACATATAAAAACAAAATTACAAATGCAAAATGTAAAAGAAAAGTAAGCAATAATTATCTGTAGGTAATTAAATTCCAATTTAACAATTCTGCTGTGTGTGGAATAATTCAAAAGAGAATTGGCACATAGGACAATGGCTGCTTTTTTCGCCGAGCATGTAATATGCATCACTCATCAGGAAAGCTGATATCTTTCCCCTTCTGTAACAATGCTGTAAAGTTGCTCTTAATTAGCCAAGAAAGTCTATGTTAAGTTTTGAAATAAATATAAAAAAGTACAACCAGTATGAGTTTTTCCATCGTGGAAGTTCCGCGGCATTACACATGCTGTAGTCAGCTAGATGCGTTTTCCCACAGTCTAGCAAATAAAATGGAAAAAGAAAACATTGAGCTGGATGCATTTCCCCACATTCTAATAACTCAAAATGCAGAGAATAAAAGCAAGGAAATCAAAAATAAATAAATAAATAAATAAAAATAAAAAAAATCCTAGCAAAATAAACAAACAAACCAGTATTCCTTTAACTTAAAAAGTTGCGAGTTCGAATTTGTTTACAGCAATAAATCTGTCAAAACCAGAAGCACAGAACAGAAACTGGTGCTCATGCATGAAGGTCAAAAGCCACATTACTGAACTGATGTAAAAACCATTACCATTTAGCACCATCTACTGGCATTTAAAAATTCAAATAAATCGTTCCGTTTTCAAGCAACATATACACGACGCTGGGCTGCAGAGTTTGATTGGAGCTCTTCTCTTATACATGATGCTAGGCTGGTAAGAGTGGAATCATTGCATTGCATATATGGAACACTGCTCCTGAACAGGTTAAAGCATGCTCTTTCAATGTGCCCAATTTGCTTGCAAAATCTGCTGATACTTGTCTTAAATTTACAAGAATTTCTATCATGGTCAGTCCCTGTACATCACAAAGACATTTTGCCTTTAGCACTCTTAGCTGAGAAGTTTTGTTTTTCAAACTTTTGTTTTTGAGCGACCGACTTAGATTTATCTTTATTCCTGGCATTAAATTCCTTAATTTCTACTGGTTTCCCAATTATTTTGTTTGAACCTTTTAAAGCTTTTCCCATTGCCAGAGCTATTTTTAGTGTCATATAAAATGATATAATCTTGCTCAAAAATTCTATCCAGTATAGCCCTATCTCAATACACAAATGCATCCCACAACATCACATTTAGCATGTTCTAATCATAAGCACATGGTATGGCAAGTGACCTTGACCGTCTGACCCTATGAAAACAAGGCCTCAACACTGCAATAGTGACGTCACTAGTAGTGGGTAAAGGAATAAATGGGCTTGCAACTTCTAGGCAGCGTAAAATTTCTTCGAAAATTAGAAATTTCATTTTTTATTCCCCAAAATAAAAAATAACGCAAGTAGATAAAATACGTAAAAAATTTTTTAATTCAGGTAAATTTTGC